AAGAAGTTTAAAGGGAGTAAGATTGAATGTGAGGGAAATTAAGTGTTAAATGGTAATGGTAAATGGAGCTTACTTCTATAGCGCCTTCCAGCCCCCTATGAGGGGCCCCAAGGCGCTTTACAGTACCAGCCATCCACCCATTCACACGCACATTCATACACCGGTGGTGTTCTCCAGAATCGACACTCTCCGGCTTTCTTCAGCTTTTCCTCACAGTACACTTAGGTGAATGAAATCGGCTCCTTTACCTGGAAATGTCTCAGGTGAGATTCCGTTTAACGCACCCTTTCAGCGTCTCAGTAGGATGCTGTTACTCGTCCGGAGTAATGGCGAGGCTCTGTTCGACACATATTCACCTCAGTGGAAAATGTTATAATCCCATGGAACTCGGAAGAGCTTCGTTGTCATGTCAGGAACTCCAACAGCACTCCATCAGAACTTTAGCTCTCGTGTAGTTTACAGAACTCCCACAGAACTCTTGAAGTCTGACAACTCTCCAACTCTGTAACTCCGTGAGTCTCTGAGTCCCTGTGTGTCTCTCCGTGTCCCTGTGAGTCTGTGTAGACCAGGAAGTACTGACATTTTAAAGACTCTTTCCCGGTTCACTTTTTGGGATTTTTCATTGGTCAGAAACGACCAGAAGGGGTGTGTTTTTGTGACGTAAGAGGTTAGAGACAGCGAGAATTGTTATGAGACAGCTCAGAAATGTTCTCACAGACCGAGAGGGTTCTGTTTTGGCGTGCCTTAAGAAACAGGTGCAAAACATCTCTATTTACGTCTGAGAGGATTCTAAAACATGACAGTTTTAACATAACAACTTGTTTTTCGTTTGACTGTAACCTTGTAAACGCACACACTTGCTCATTCAAAAGCAGAAATCAGAAAAATGCATAAACTCTGCACAGCTTTTAACATGAGAATAAAATCATTACTCAGTTAATAAAATTGATTAGTTCACTGCAACATCTAAAATGGTTTGAACTAAGACACTTTGATTATCAACATTTGTAAGATAGTAATGATAATAAAAAGAGAGTGTTCTTTTCACTTGAATCTTCAAGAAAGAAAGTCTCAGGATGGGTGAACCTGTATTTATGTATTCAAATACATGAAATGACAGCTTCTATCCCACAAGGTTCTAAAGGTCAAGAGTTTTGACCTTAGACTGGGTTTCGACGTAGGCTTAGTCCACTACAGTCCCCCCTTTGGAAATCATCACCTGTCCATGGAGATGAATTCCAACTATGGACTTACGTCGTCGATCGTCCTTGAAGCTTGATGTAATCCAGCAAAGAAACAAGAGTCAAAAGTAATCCAGCAAGGAAAACAAAAGTCAAAAGTAATCCAGCAAGGAAAACAAA